GGTATGCGAATATTCCTAGCTCATTTCACAATGTCGTGTATATTAAACGAATCATTCTAATGACTTTTCATACCTTTTTAGATCAGCACAGTGGATATGATCCCAATGCAACATGTTCACGAGGTCCTGCGACCAAAGCAGTCGTATGCACATGCAACTGCACGTTCACCAATGCGGGATCAGGATCGAATGTGGTATGGAAAGATTTCTGTTTTATTTAAGAATATGAAGTATAATAAACGAGTTGTTCTCAAGTATTTAGATAGCTGCCAAGTCCTCAATGGCGAATGGCATCTGAATACAGCATGCTCACATAACAACACAAGAAATGAGATAACATGCGAATGAAGTGATGGCTTCATCAATGTGGGATCAGGATCAGGATCGTATGTGGTATGCAAAGATTTCTATTTCATTTGAGACTGTGAAATATACTAAATGATTCGTTCTAATGACTTTTGATAGCTTTTTAGATTAAAGCAGTGGATGTGATCCAAATGCTACCTGTTCACATGATACTGCCACCAACGCGGTTATATGCACATACAATCGTAGCTTCACTGACGTTAGATCCGGATTGATTGTGGTGTGGAAATGTTCCTATTTGATTTCAGAATGTGTAATATGGGGAATAGATCATTGTAAAATATGGTGAATAGAACATTCTAATAGGTTTTGGTAGCGTTTGAGATTAAAATAGTGGATGTGACTGAAACGGTACCTGTTGAAACTATGGGCTAATACTAATGAAGGGAACGTGGAGGCAATAGTGGCTTTATTAATATTGCGTCATGGTTCAATGTATTATAGGAAGGTTTGTATTTGTTTGCAGTATGTCAGATAGGGAGTGAATATGGATGTGGGATGAGGGAAGACTTTTTCCACAGCCCCGCATCCGCAATCACACCCACAGTCAGTTACTCATGTCCACACTGCATAAAAGAGAATTTTTTTTATGCATTTATTTGTTTTTCTATTTATTTATTTATTTATTCTTTGCTTGTTCCTGTGTCTTTCTGGTCGCAACATTGTTGATTCGCTTTATTGAAATGTGCCCAAATTGTTTGTTAAGTAAAAATATTAAGGTGCTGAGTTGTCCTTTGCTAAGTGAAATTTGTATCTGCGCAGTAAGAACAGGAATGCTGAGTAAAGTATGGAACCTTGAGTTAATTATAAGTTTGTGTGTAAAGAAAATATTTGCTAGGTCTGATAATTAATAACTATGTGAAATTTTTTTTGTTAAGTTAGTGAATCGAAATTATTGTGAAAAAATGAGATTGCTGACTAAAAATTATTACTATTAAGCAATTTTGAATAAGGACAAAGTACAATTATCTGAGATAGGGAAATTTTTTTATGGTAGTATAGCGTATACATTTTCTTTCTTACTTTCCTTCTATGAATATTAAACTAGTATTGTGACATATGTATATTCCAGCTATATTTTTTTTCGTTCTGATGTCACGCGTGAATAGGTGGACGTTTTCTTTGTGGATGTTCTGGTAGCATTATTTCTATTTTTCTCTTGTTGTTTCGGTTACATACGATCTGTATTATTTTCTCGAAAGTTCTTTTCTGTTTCACACTTTCTGGTGAGTTCTCATGTTCCCTGATTTTTTGTATATATATATATCTGTCACTGAAAGTGTATTCTGTTTTAATTAACTATGGCGAATTTTTGGGCAACACAAAGATATGAAAGCTCATCAGAATTAGACGATGAAACGGAAAATAATCAGCAAGATATTCAAGGAAAGAAAAAAGCTCGACGTAATAAGCTTCGCTGGATTCAAGATAACATTTTGTCTGATGATAACGAAACTCAAATGGCAACTTAACAAGGAAAGAAATGGAGTCGATATTATATCAACAAAGTTCATGATGGAATTAAAGTTCATTATTATTGCAATCAAGTACGATTTCATAATAAACAATGCGATGCAGCAGTACCCCTACACTATCCAAATGATAGCGATTATGTAGTATTATTTCGTGCAGTAAATGAACATAACCATACAAATTCCAATCGGCATAAGATTTTTTCTGAAGAAGGAAAAGAAAATAATGAGGAATTATTTGATTTGAGATTAAAACCCAAGACAATATATGAAGTATTACAAGAGAAAAACTTTAAGATTACATTTAATTAACTAAAAAATTATTTTTTTCAATTGCGTAAAATGAAAAATTTGGTCCTTCAACTTTAAGCTTGGAACAATTAGAATTTTTATGTTTTGAAAAATCTACACTACCCCAATTTGACGATAAATCATTTATTCTTGCATACAATGTTAATTATGAAGATGATATTGATGATGATCAAAATGTGGTACACGATTGTAATGAATTTAGGTTTCCCATATCAACGAAAACGCTATTGAAAATTGCTTGTGCTTAATCACGGTTATATACTGATGTTACTTATAAATTCAATTGGCACGACTTTCCTGTACACTAGTAGGAACAAGTGATTATGACAGGAAGTTGCATCCATTTGAATTGACAGTGTGTAGTGACGAAAAGCAATAAGATTTCAAATTTATTTTCAAAAGTATTTCAGGTGATCTTGAGACGATAATTCAACCAACACTCATGCCTGAAGTTTTGATAGCTGATGGGCCTGGTGCTATAACAGAAAGTATTTTCGAAAATACTTAACTATAATAAAGGGTGATGTGTTGGGTACATATGCGTCCAAATGTAAATAGAAAATTAAGCAGTATTAGGAATTATGATGCAAAGCACGAGACGTTGGATGATATCGACAAATTTACAATTATGCGAATCAGAAACAACCTTTACAAATGCATCATCATTATTCATAAAGAAATGGAGCAAAAGAAAACATTAGTTTTCACAATATTTCGAAAAGGAATCGCTAAAAACTCTTGATTCATGGTATGTAGGGTAGAATAACTTAACATCAAGTATAAATAATTCATTAGAAGCAACAAATAAGGTCATCAAAGATAAGCCCACATTTAGAGAACGACATCCATTGTCAAGAGGTTTTTACAATTGCAAATGATATACTTGAAAGATGGCCTAAGTTTTGCAGTCCGAATCAAATAAATCCAATCATATTTTCAACAAACCCAACAATTACATTACAACAATAGACTACTGCATATGACTATGCAAAATCCTCAAAATCAGTATTACAAATATCATCTAAAGAAAAAGGTTTTACTGATTACTATATACCAGCTGGCGAAGCAGAAAATGTTACAACAAATGAAATCCAGAAATACAAAAAAATAGACGCTGTTGGATCAACTTGAATACATCTTAAATTTAGAATATGGAAAGTAACTTTATCAGACGATGCATTGGAATGGAAAAACGGACTTTGAAATTGTTCAAGTTTTAACAAAGAATACATTTACAAACATAGTATTGATATAGCTATTAGGCTGAAGTTTTGAAAACCACCTCCATCAGTCAAGAATATACCTTTGGGTGAAAAAAAAACGAAGACAACCATGAGAAGCACCAAAACTTCTATTAATCCAATAACTGTACAATTAATTTTTTTTTCTTAGATATTTATCTCTCTTTACTTAAAAAGAATTGTATATTTTCCTAGAGATTTACAATATTTTGCCTAGAAAATCAAACTTGTCTACTTATAATTAAAATAAAAAACTTAACAAAAATAATTTTTTTTTAAATTAGCCTTTATTTAAAATTACCTAGCCTCTATATAGTAGTCCATTTAAATCATACTCACGCCCGCACCCTTCCTCATAATAATGTCCACTTCAAGATAAAAGATGAGTAGTTGTTTTTCGAATAACTCTTCAACGGAAAGAGCTATCGGTCTGTAGTTTTCATCATTAGAAAGAGACTGACATTCTGCACGTTTCTATATACTAATTAGCAAAACTTGCTCATAAATCTGATGAGTAGTCAGTTAAATTCAAAAAAACAATTAAAATGGTTTGAAAAATGTATAGAATTTCAATCATAAGGGGTGCGCAAGATTCGTCTACTCCACATGTAGAAGTCTTCATAAATTCGAAATTTTTATTTTGTATCATTGAAAAGATATACATCCAACGCTGATTGTCAAAAAGACTTTGAAACAACCTTTCGTGAAGCTTTTTCAAGTTTAAATAATTCAACGTCTAGTAATGAATAATTAGGGTTTCGACCATTTTGAATACACTGTAAAGTAGAAAAAAAGTTATAGAGTACAGAACAGGATATTCTAGGAATGCCTATACGGTTTCGGACACGAATTTCTACTTTCTTGAAAATACGATACTGAAGAAGACAAAAATAAGAAATTCGATTTTCTAATTAGAAAATCGAAACTGAATTCGTATGGGCATCCCTAGAATTTGACATTATGTTTAGCGATTGGAGTGTATTCTAGAAATTTGAAAATCTACTAAGAGTTTCTGTTTCCAAAAGAAAATGCATCCAATAAAATAAATAAATAATTTTAATCTTAAGTGAAATAAATTCATAAACGTTCAATTCACATAAATCCACCGAATAAAATAAATAATTTTAATTGAAATACATGCAAAGTGGACTGACTTACGCGGCAGCTGAAAAAAATATAATTTATCAACTCACTGCAGCCGAAGAAAATAATGAATGCACAACTGTATCGGCTGACTTCTATACATGAATGAACAATGACTCCATAGCGGTTATTGTTCA